ACACACACACACACACACACACACACACACACACAAACAATGAAACAAACAGGTCTTACCCCAGTGCTCAAACCCAAATGACCCCCAAAACTAATTTCAATTACTAAGTACATGTACGTGTACTTTCTGCAATTTTGATAAAAAGTCGATTATAAACAAACGAAAGAATGACCACTGCCGTGTAGGTTTTGGGCAATAATATTATGGGGTAAAACCAACTGCAGCTATCTTCCGCTGGACCACAATATATGAGTGCGTAGAAACAAGAAGCGTCCAAAATGGCGGCCGAACTTCCCAACCTTTGCCTTTCCCAGTTTCACTGAAAACAAACGTATTGTCATGTACGTTTTCACCAAATAGAGGTAGTCGGTATACTGTTGGACACTTACGTAGTTTCAAAATCCCGTAATGAAGCGTCTCATTGGGGACATGTCCTAGATATCTAGATTTAGATCTATTTTATAGTTGAGAGTGTGACTACTGTGACACAACAATTGAAAAAGTGGGACAAAAACAATGACTCAATGACAACGGCATTCCATCTTTCATGGCTAGGCCTATTCTTAGAATTTTGTGTTTGGACGCAGATTGACCTTTTAGAATCCCTCGCACCTCATGGGGCCTTCTAGTAAAGAACTAGGCGTGATAAAAGTACATCAATTTTACTGGAAAAAATTATAGTTGAAACAATGATAGATGATAGTAGAGTCTAGAGATCTCTAGATCTAGTAGAGTTGTTACTAGTAAACTTTGTTACTGTTTTAGTAGAAGATAATAATTAAACATTTTTTTGTGTAAACCCTAAATACATGGTTGAGGGTCGAGAGTAGAAGGTGAGGTAAAAGTAACATTTCAACCCCCCTTCTGAAATAAGTTATTTATGAAGCATCTTTTGCAATGTTACAGGGACATAGATCTGAATAAAAATGATATGTGTGGAAAAGTGAAGACCTCAAATGTTTGTAGTAGGTCAAATATTTTCTAAATGGAAGACTAAAATCAAAGTTAACTTCTACCATATGGAATTATACGTTACGGGGCTTGACTCTTTAGCCTCTGGAGTGGCAGGATCTCATTTGTACACAGCATACAAGATGGCACCTTTTTAACGTCAAACACCCCATCTAGATATAGTTCTATATCAACTCCATTTACCCTCGTCCTGCGGGGGCTGTGTTTATGTCACCCGATAAGCCTATTTCAGCACCTCGCATTCGTTCTGATCCCGCGTCAGTCTAGCCTCTGGTACAGGGCACTCGCCTCGAGCATCATCTCCCTTTCAATTCAGGTCCAGCGTCGGATCAGTCTGCTTGAGTTTGGTGTGCGTTTGTGGCCTTTTTCTAGAACCGCCTGCGTTGGTTCGTAACCGAGGCATACGTTTCATTCAGAACCTGCCAAGTTGGTTGCTCTAGATGTTCGTCCAATGAAATTATAGAACAAATTGACCCACTTAGACATGAGGAGCTCGAAAGGCTAGTCAGGAAACAAGACTTCCATTTTTTTATACAAAATTTTTCAAATGAGCTTGATTTTGTATGAAATGATACTACCTGATAAAAAATAAGCTTGTTTGATAGCTCTTTGAACCATTATGCAGGTAAAAAGAACAATTTGAGAGAAAAACATTCGGAAATTGACCAATATTATCCCTTTGCAACCCCAGGTCATTCATAACAACAAGAGCGTCTAAAAAGGTTATTCGAATGGGTGCAACTACTCTTAATGTCTTCAGCTTATGAGAGGGGGTTATTCTGCTTTACTAGTAACTAGCTTAATTTTATCAAAACTCGATTATTGTAACTCCTTGTTATCAGGAATATCACTGGAGAAAGTTAAAAGACTTCAAACTGTCCAAAACAATGCAGCACGTTTAGTTTTAAGGAAAAGAAAGCGAGACTCTGCTAAACCTCTTTTACGAATTTTGCATTGGCTTCCTGTTGAGAAAAGGATTGTGTACAAGTTGGCCACCATATGTCACAAATGTTTGAATATTATATCAAATATCATCATATTTATCAAATCTGTTAAGACTGTACATTCCAACCCGCAGTTTAAGATCATCAGCTGACAAAAAGAAATTTATTTTACCATCTATGAAACTTAAAACAATGGGTGAAAGGGCATTTGAATACCAAGGCCCCAAGATCTGGAATGCTTTACCAAGCACGTTGAGAGAAATCAAATATTTTGATTCATTCAAATGTCAGCTGAAGTCGTTTCTGTTTTTAAATTAATAAGATGAATATTTGGAATAATTTTCTTTAGTCAGAACACAACGTTTCATGTTACTGTTGTATGTTGTACTGTATTGTAAAGCGCTCAGAGCCTGTGTACTTTATTCGGGGTTGAGCGCTATATAAATGTCATTTATTATTATTATTATTATTCATGTGTTCATAACACTTTATAGAAAGCTATAAATAAAAGATAGAGTGTTATTTTCATCATCGATTAAGACACTCCCGTGGTATTCTCGGCAAAAACACGTTTCCAGGCGCACGCTGTGTACACCAATAGTACACTCTCAGTGACCCTGGCGCCTTGCCCAGAACGTCCGATGTAATCAGTTGCTGATAAGATTCGCATCTCAGCGAAGATGCAGGACAAGAGTTAACATCATGCCATTTAGTTGCTGATTTCTTATAAGACTTACTTTGTTATTTTTTCAGTTTTGAAAACAAAATCTTGCCAAAATGTCCTTGAGAGGACTGAAAGGGGAGGAGCTTAAGCGACACTTGAGAGAACTAGTCACCAGCTGGGAAGGAATAATCCGCGATGCTGGATCTCTTGGACAGGCTGAGGAGACACTTCTTCATTTGGAGGAAAATGATGAGAATTTTCACAAGTAAGAAGTTGTACTGTCGGTATTGTAGGCCTATGTTTTTTTCCCCCCAGTGTTAAGAATAGTTATTTTTTAGATAAAGAAATACTATTTGCACACAACTACTACTGGACTCATTATTTATTGTACAGTAAAACCTGCTTCAGTGACGCACCTGTTCAAGACAACCATCAGTTCAAATGACTATTTCCCATTTCCCTCCTTAGGTTTTTTTCTATCTGTCATAATGACACTGTCCAAGAGGACACCTTTGTAAGATGATCAGTTTTTCCTTGACAATTGACAATGGGTAGGTCATCTCGAACAGGTTCAACTGTACTATGCATTTTTAAAATGAATTTGCAGAAAGCTTCTATGCGGCTAGGGAAATAAAGATAGTAAACTTTGTTGAAAGATGTAAAAGCTAAAAAAAAAATTCCCTTAAAGCTCATTGTTGTCAATTTTAGTGTTCTTCCCTTCTTTATTGCTTGATTGACACACTGAAGTCTTCAGTGGCCAAGTATCAGTAAGCACAGCTAGGCTTTCAGTAATGTCAGGTTGAATGTCAGTAACATTTCATTAAGATGGGGAGTGTCCTTGAGCAAGACATGATTACCCTAGCTCAAAAATGGGATGCTGCACTGAGGCACCCAGCAATAGCTTGTAGATTGTATCATTGGGATATTGTGCATGAGGTTATGTCAATGAGTTATTCATGTATAAGATATATTTTCGTATACGCATGTGTTTATTATGAGTATACGTGTGGCTGCGAAAGAACACCCTTCAGATGTCATCTGTCCCATTTTTTAGCTATGAGTCATTTTAGAGTTAAAAGTGCTATCCAATGAAAATTTAGATGAGGTCATTTTTGGATTAAAAAATATATTAATTTTTATATCGATATTGAAAATGCATTTTGAGACATTTTTTGTGGCAGCCCCATCAATGTGACAACCAGCGTGTTCAAGAGACTTGTGAGCGGTGAAGGCGAAAACACTTTGACATTTCTACCAACTCTGGATTCGTTTTATTAATTTTTTTACCCTGCCTTATTATATATCAAAATCTTTGACAGAACCCCAGGAATTCCCCGGAAACTAGTGCGCATGTATTTATAGCGTCTAGACGTAGTGCCCATCGAAAGAAATCGCAGCGTCTTAACTCTTTATTACCGACGAGACGAATGAGTAACCGGCGCACCAAGTCATTCGGCTCGCTATACATCCCTACTATTTCATTGCCACAAGTCTTTATTCAATGACATTGGTCTTGTTTTCAGCATCTAGTGCCGTAAATAGGATTTATCTGAACCAAAACTTCACGTTTCTTCTTATTTGACGTCACCTTGTAGGCGGGAAGTTGATTTTTTTGGTCTGTTGTTTTCTGTTTTCATTTTCCCTGATCAACTGATTTCTGTTTATCGTTCACGATGGAGTCTTCGTGTAGGCTGCGTAGACATACAGGCTATAGACTTATTGACTCAGAATTTAGAACATTCTGATTCTGAATCAGATAAGAGTGAGGACGACTTTGCCATAATAGAGCATGAGGTTATAAACATAACCAGTGACTCTGTCAGACAGGCCAAAGCATTTGATGTGATAATTGTGAGGCTTCACCTGGTTGTATTGCTTGTTAGCAAATCTGCCCTTGAACCCGATTATCATCTCATCAATGTTGAGGTCTTTGAATGGGTAAAAAGCAGTTTGAAATTTTATTATCAGTTTTTTTATGAATGGCTCAATCTTCTCTTTACCCTGAGTACCAGCTGCACTTGCATGGAGCATTGTGTGATAGAGTGTGGGAGAAACCAGTCACGACAAGGAAAGATCTGGAGGAACCTATGGCGTGTACCAGTATAACGGCGTTTTCCTAAAATAATCCCTTATGCGTGGCCTCTTATCCATACCCGCAAAGACACTTCCTACAGCCCGGAGTGAGACCCCGATGGCCAGCAAGCAAAGAAGGTGTTTCAAACCCTACTTGAAGACACCTGCAAAGGCCACATGGTTTTTGCAGACAGATGGCTACTTTACGTCCTGCTTTGTCATTGACTATCTGCTGTCTGAAGGCAGATATTTCACCGGCATGCTCCAAATCAATCGTGTTGGTTTTCCTCAAGAATTGAAACAACTGAAACTCCAGCACCGAGAAGCCCAGTGGTTCACCTCCAAGGGAGATGAGATTCTGTGTGTGGCTTGGCGAGATAAAAAGGTCAAAAACCCTGTGTCTTCTTTTCCACAAATTCGTCTGCTGAGATGTCCACCGTTCCCTCTCGATGAGGAGATGGCTCGTTGAAGCCAGCTATGGTTGTAGCTTACAACCATGCAATGAATGGCTGCAACAAAGCAGACCAAGACATAGGGCACTAGGGCCTTTCACTAGGAGGTCAAAGAAGTGGTGGAGGAAAGTTTTTTTCTGGATGCTGGAGATCGCACAATTCAACACCCATATCTTATACCCCCTGTCTCACCCTGACCAACCCCACGAAGGGTTTCTTGAATTCAAAGACATGCTGATCGATGAACTTCAGGGTAGCATTGTTTCAACACAGCTAAGATCCAACCAAAGTGACATGCACCTAATCAAGCATTCTGGCAAAGATCGAAATTGCATCTACTGCAGCACCCCCGAAAAGAGGCAATGCACATCTTTTGTCTGTACAGGCTGCACTGATCTCCCCACCTGCATCCTAACACTAATTTTCATGGTGTACAGTGGACTTTTCTAAATTTTTCCTACTCATTTTGGCTGTTTTTGGATACTGGGTACTCTATGTATTCTTCTGTATAATACCCCATGTAACACTTATATTGTGTTTTATTTATGATGTTCTTATTCTTAGAGTAATTATTGACAACTTTTTTTCTTGAAATTTGGATATTTTTCCCAATGCAGACCTGTTGTGTCAAGTCTACGGATTGGCAAAACCACACATCTTAAAAATGCTAGACCCAATACAAAACCAAGGACTCCGCCTTGCTCTGGGGGCTTTCTGCACTTCTCCGGTGGAGAGCCTCCAGGCCGAGGCCAGCATACCACCACTCTCACTCAGACGCACACAACTCTCACTACAATACGCAGTTAAATAGAGCTTAACACCGGAAAATCCAGCGCATGACTGCATTTTTAAAACAAACCCAGAAACCATAAACAAATTCCAAAACAACGAAAAACTCATCAAACCCTTCGGCCTCAGAATCCTTGAGGAACTCAAAAACTTACACTTTTCTAAACAAGATATCCAACAAATTCTTTTCCCCGACCTCCCTCCGTGGCACCTCACCAAGGCTAAAGTAGATTTACAGCTGACCACACACAACAAAAAAAGCACAAACACCATAACTTTTTAAGCAGAATACAAAAAACTAATAGATATATACCGCGGTGCGGAGCTCATCTTCACAGATGGCTCCAAAAAGACAATGAAGTGGGCGCTGCAGCTCTATCTTCCAACAGTACACATCAGAGGAGACTCCATCCTGAAGCCTCCATTTTCTCTGCGGAGGCCACTGCCATTGACATGGCACTGGACTCCGTAGAAAACTCTCCTAACAAATCTTTCGTTATTCTTTCTGACTCTCTGTCTTGCATCACCTCACTCACAAACTACACACTCCTACATCCAAAAATAGTTAGGCTACAACAGAAAATTCATACACTATCCGAAACAGGAAAAAACATCATGTTCGCATGGATACCTAGCCATGTGGGCATCCGAGGAAACAAGCAGGTAGACGACTAGGCGAAGAAAGCCTCATCCCTTCTGCTGGGATCAACAACAAACACTCTCCCTCAGACTGACTTTAGAAATAAAGTCAAAAAGTACACCTCCAGTCTGTGGGAGAACCACTGGGAAAAGCAGAAAAAAAAAAAACTATATGAAATAAAACCCAAACTAGAACAGCGAAATCCTTCGGACCTCTCCAGAAGCGACGAAGTCATTTTTACTCGATTGCGCATCGGACACACGGCCCTGACCCACAAATATTCCTCCTACAGGGAGATGAGAAGCCGTTCTGTGTCGGATGCGACACAGATTTTACAATTAGACACATCTTAACCGAATGTCTAGACTTTGGAGAGATCCGAAGGAAATATTATAAATGCAAGAAATTGCAAGACATTTTTTCCGTCGTTGTTCCCAGCAGAATTTTGAATTTTGTGAAGGCCATTGGCCTTTATGGCAAATTGTAAAGTGAAACAATATTGTTAAAAATTGTTATTGTTATTTATAAGAGTTGTTTTAAATCGCAAATATATTTACACTGAATTTTAGTATTTTAGCATTTTAGCATTTTAAAGTCTAATTGTCGACAAAGCGTGCAGTGAACTGTTGCGAATGCTATCAACTTGTGTTTCGCGCGCTCATATGACCTTACGCAGTTGCGAGCACCGTAAAACCCTGTACTACTACTACTACCACCACTAGACCTGTTGTGCCCAGATGAGTGTATAAATTGTTACGTAAATTTTTGTTTATTTTTTGTTTTGAAGTGTATCCGTTTTGTCAATTACATTTTCCATTTTAGAAAACAACACTTTTTTCACATAAATATAATGCAGCATTCATTTCTAAACAAATGCACACCACAAACTTTATTCTAGCACTTACAATAGAGGAGTTATACTATTTTTCCCATACCACCCTCCTGCTAAATTTTAGTGCTCTGAAAAACCTTGTAGTCAAACTGAAAAATGCTCACGGTCATAAAGAGTTAAACAGGCTCTAAAAATTAAGATCCCAGTTTCTAGTCAATTTTTGCTAGATTTAAGGACTTTACTGTAAACTTTAATCGCGATTTTCTCAGTTGTAGTTTTCTCCTCTTTTTGGACTTTAAATGGCAATATCTCAACTTCTAGTAAAGATAATTGCATGAAATAAAAAGTAAATAATATATATATGCCATTGTAAATAACATTTCCTCACAGGGATCAATAAAAGTGGAATTTATTGTCCTGTTTGAAGAAGTTTTAATGCTTTTGCCATTTTTTCTTGTGACAATGAATGTCTTTTTGGCTATGCACTGATAAGATTGACAGTTTTACAGGAACAGTTAAGTTGTACCAGAAATGAGACATAGATTTTGATAGGTCCCAAATAAATGATGTTGCTCGTTCATATTTTGTTCTCCACAGGCATGAGTTTGTCAAAGCCTTAAAAAGGGAGCTGGAGCAGACTCTTAGTCCCCTCATTGAAGATGAACTGGAAAAGTACTCTACAACTGGCCATGTAGACTCTGGAAGTCATGAGACCCTGGTCAGCCGAATCACTGACCACATAATACAGTCCAGGCAGTAAGTACAGACAGCAGACTTTGATGTATTTAAGACATGATACTTTAGTTGCCAGTACAATAACTATCTTTCATATGGAATAATTTTAGGGCAGAAACCTTTTTTCCCATGGCATCTAAAATTTAAGGTCAATTTTTAAATTATGTATTTTCTTGATGTACCAAGTACAACATAGGGCGACAAAGTGGTTAAATATTAAGCCTTTATGGATGACAAATGTTATTTTCACTGGAGACTTTCAGTTGTGACTCAACCTGGCTTCCCATATTTAGACAGATTTTTTATAGACCTTCATACAGCTCAGCATGTAATTAGTTTATTCTTACAGACGTACATATTGTCGGCCTTGTGATAAAACCGACTAACCCCAGCGAGGCAAATTTTACAGGAGAAGGAAAAAACTGTTTTATTCCAAAACAAAGGCGTCTAACGTAAAATCAATGGTTTAAACACCTATAAAAACACTTTACCGAAAGATTGTAGACCTTTTTTTTCCTTCAAAAATTGCTTTTAATGAAACTGCGTGGGTTAGACGGTTATGTCTCTCAAATTTTTCTGGATAAAACCGACCAACCCTCAATTTTGTGGGTTAGCCGGTTTTATCAGGAAGCCACTGTTGGCCTTGAGTTTGGTTGATTGCAGCGAAGCCACACTTGACGGTGACGTATTTGATCAGTTGTTTCAATCGTCGAGATCTTTGAAGAAGAAGAAGAAGAAGGAGGAAGAGGAGGAGGAGGAGGAGGAGGAGGAGACTATATTATTGCTACCAACATACATACTGTCAGCTGCTGCCATTTCAGTGCTACGGAGTCAATTTGGACAAAAACAGCAGTCACAAAGTTGAACATTTAATAGAAGTAGAAGAAGCAGAACACAGCAATGGGTATATTAATTACATTTAAAGTAGAAGAACAGGAGGTTCGAAGAGTAAGGGAGAGCAGCTACAGCAACAACAACAAAAACAACAACTACAACAACAACAAAAACAACAGTAGTAGCAGCAGCAGCAGGCCTTTAGAATGTATGACAGTGTCTGACACTGTACTATTGGCACTGGGTCGCCATTCAAAGGCCTGGAAAAAAGTAATACTGAGAAAGAAATGAAAGCAAGAAGCCTCACAAATGCTATGCTACCTCAGCAATGGTTTGGGTGAAGTTGGTTACATAGTAATATATTATTATTAGTGTAGTAGAGGAACGACAAAAATACTGAAAGAAAGGAAAAAATTGCAAAAGAAACAAAAAGTATCGGGATGTACATAAAACTAGGTCACTTTCAACATATTAAAAATGTACATTCACGCTTTAATAGGAAATGCTATTTTTAGCTCATGACGTCATCGGGGTCAACTTTATAAAA